GGCTCTGGGGATGGAGGTTAGGATTGGGGTTGGGGTCTCAGTGTCCCCTGTGTCCCTCAGGTCCTTGTCTCCAATGGGCTCTGTGGATGGAGGTTAGGATTGGGGTTGGGGTCTCAGTGTCCCCTGTGTCCCTCAGGTCCTTGTCTCCAATGGGCTCTGTGGATGGAGGTTAGGATTGGGATTGGGGTCTCAGTGTCCCCCCCATGTCCCTCAGGTCCTTGTCTCCAATGGGCTCTGGGGGTGTCTCTCGGGGTTGGGAACGGGGACGGGAGGGCCCTCACCGCCGCCCCCTCTCCCAGCTCATCGGCTCGGAGCAGTGCCTGCACCGCATCGAGCGCATGGTCAGCGAGGCCAAGAGCAAGGCCGGGGCCGACCCCCGCGTGCCCCTGCTCTCCCTGGTGAGACCCCAGTGCCCTCCCCAGGGATGCTCCCGCACCGGGTCCATGTGTCCCTGACCCCTCCATGGTGACCGGGCCCTCGGTGCCCCACAGGGGCTGTCCCTGAGCGGGGGGGACCAGGAGGCTGCCATTGGGAAGCTGCAGGAGGAGCTGCACCGGCGCTTCCCGCACCTCAGCCGCAGCTTCTCCATCACCACCGATGCTGTGGGGGCCATGGCCACCGCCACTGATCACGGTACGGGGGGGGACGGGGCTAGGGGGGTGAATGGGGCATGGGGGGGGGGACATGGACACACACACATGGGGGTCCCCATGGGCTTGGACCTCGCAGGCGGCATCGTCCTGATCTCGGGCACTGGATCCAACTGCAAACTCATCAACCCTGACGGGTCGGAGACCGGCTGCGGCGGCTGGGGCCACATGATGGGGGATGAGGGCTCAGGTGAGGCTGGGGGGGTGATGGTGATGGTGGTGGTGATGATGATAGTGATGGTGATGTGATGGTGATGGTGGTGGTGATGGTGATAGTGATGGTGATGTGATGGTGATGGTGGTGATGGTGGTGGCGATGGTGATGATGATGGTGATGGTGGTGGTGATGGTGATGATGATAGTGATGGTGATGTGATGATGATGGTGATGATGATGGTGGTGATGGTGATGATGGTAGTGATGGTGGTGATGATAGTGATGATGATGGTGATGATAGTGATGATGATGTGATGGTGATGGCGATGGTGATGGTGGCAATGGTGGTGGTGATGATAGTGATGATGATGTGATGATGATGTGATGGTGGTGGTGATGGTGATGGTGGTGGTGGTGGTGGTGATGGTGGTGGCGGTGATGATAGTGATGATGATGGTGATGATAGTGATGATGATGTGATGGTGATGGCAATGGTGATGATAGTGATGATGATGGTGATGATAGTGATGATGATGTGATAGTGATGATGATGTGATAGTGATGATGATGGTGATGATAGTGATGATGATGTGATGATGATGATGGTGGTGATGGCGATGGTGGCAATGGTGGTGGTGGCGATGGTGGTGGTGATGATAGTGATGATGATGGTGATGATAGTGATGATGATGTGATAGTGATGGTGATGGCGATGGTGGCAATGGTGGTGGTGATGATGTGATGATGATGTGATGGTGGTGCTGATGATGATGGCGATGGTTGTGGCGGGGTCTCAGCCACGGCCGCCCCCCCCGCAGCGTTCTGGATCGCGCACCGGGCGGTCAAGGTGGTGTTTGACAGCATGGACAACCTGGAGGAGCCCCCCCATGACGTGGGATACGTCAAGGAGGCCATGCTCGACTACTTCCAGGTGCTGGGGGGGGGCCTGGGGGGTCCTGAGGTGGGAGAGGGGGGGTTTGGGCTTCATCCCATGGGGCCTGGTGGGCTCCAAGCTGGGCGCTGGGGTCTTGGGGGCTCTGGGGGGGGGGTCTTTGGGGGGCTCCAAGCTCCATGATGGGGCCCTTTGGGGGTTCTGAGCTGCATATCAGGATCTGGGGGGCTTTGGGCTACACGATGGGGTTCGGGGGGGTGTTCTGGGCTGGGTCCTGGGGACCCAGCGGGCTTGGGGGGTTGGGAGGGTCCATGGGGGGCTCTGGGCTGCATGCTGGGGGGGGGGGGGTCCTGTCCACACACCATGTTTGGGGGTGCGGGGGGGGTGTTTCACAGTGCACCCCCCCTCACCCGCCCCACAGATCCAGGACAGGATGGGGCTCCTGCCCCATCTCTACAGCTCCTTCCAGAAGGCCAAGTTTGCAGGGTTCTGCCAGAGGCTGGCGGAGGGTACGGATAAAGGGGGGGGGGCAATGGAGGGGGGTCATGTGTACCCCATCACCCCATTGCCCCCTCCCCATCCATCATCCATCCATCCATCCATTTATCCATCCATCCATTTATCCATCCATCCATCCGTCCATCATCCATCCACCCATCCATCATCCCTCCATCAATCATCCATCCATCATCCCTCCATCAATCATCCATCCATCATCCCTCCGTCCATCCATCCCTCCATCCACATTTATCCATCCATTTATGCATCCATTTATGCATCCATTTATCCACCCATCCATCCCTCCCTCCATCCATCCATCCATCCATCATTCATCATCCATCCATCCATCCATCCCTCCCTCCATCCATCATCCATCCATCATTCATCCATCCATCCACCCACCCACCCATCATCCATCCCTCCCTCCCTCCATCCATGATCCATCCATCATCCACCCACCATCCATCATCCATCCCTCCATCGCCCCATCCCCAGGTGCTCAGGCCGGGGACCCGCTCTGCTGCCACCTCTTCCACCAGGCCGGGGAGGTCCTGGCCCGGCACGTGGCCGCGGTGCTGCCCAAGGTGCACACGGTGAGAGCGGGATGGGGGGCACCTGAATGGGGGGAAAATGGGGTGCGGGGGGTCCTGGTGTCACCTCTGTACCCCCCCCCTTCCCCAAGAGCCTGTTCCAGGGGGAGCTGGGGCTGCCCATCATCTGCGTGGGCTCCGTGTGGAAGAGCTGGGAGCGGATGCAGGAGGGTGAGTGGGGATGCACTGGGGTGGGGGGGATGCTGCTGCCCCCATAACGTCTGTACCCCCCCCCCCTTAGGGTTCCTGCAGGTGCTCACCCGGGCGCGGGGGGGCGCTGCGGGACGCGGCTTCTCCCGCTTCAGCCTCCTGAAGCTGAAGCGCTCCTCGGCGCTGGGGGGGGCCCGGCTCGGCGCCCGCAGCATCGGAGCGGCTCTGCCCCTGGATTGCGCCGCCAACGTGGATGTGTTTTACAGCCACAGCTTCCAGTGACCCCCCCCCAAGGGGCGGGCAGGGAACGGGAGGGGGGCAATAAAACGGTTGCAACATCCAAAGGGAAATGGGGAAGTTGGGGGATGGAGAACAAACCATGGGGTTCCTGTTTTGGTACCCAAGGAGGATGGGCTCTGTGGGTGTGGGGCTGGGGTGATGCTCAGGGGCAAGTGGGAGGAGGATGCTGTTGGGATTGAGCATGGAATCGGGATGAGGGCCGGGCCCAGCACCTCCCACTGGAGCAGCTTGCTCCAAACCCCTGTGCCTTGAGCACTGCCAGGGATGGGGCAGCCACAGCTTCTCTGGGCACCCTGTGCCAGCGCCTCAGCACCCTCACGGGGAAGAGCTTCTGCCTAAGAGCTCAGCTCAGTCTCCCCTCGGGCAGGTCCAAGCCATTCCCCTTGGCCCAAGCCCCTCTCCCTGGCTTTCACCTCTCACATTCCATGTCCTTGGTGCTGAGGCTCAAGCATGGGGCCGGTGCTTGCTGCTGTCCTTGCAGTGTGCTCCTGGCCAAGACCCCCCCATCCAATGGGGCTCAACAGGGACCTCCCCCTGGTCCACACTGAACCCGCGCTCTGCTCCCTTCCCAAACACGTTTATTTCTAACGAGGCCTTTCCCAAATGTACAGCATGGGGGGGGGGGGTGAGCAGAAACCAAACAGAAACCAGAGAAAGGAAGGGGGGATCTGTTCTGTGCTACTGCTACAGGAGAGAGCCCTTCCCTGCATCCATCCCATCCCATCCCATCCCATCCCATCCCGGCCGCCGAAGGCACAGCGCTGGACCAGCAATGGGAGGACTCACCCCATTGGAGCTGGGCACCTCCTGGGGCAGGCAGCAGCTCCGCAGGGATTAGGGATGGAGCTGGGATACCCATGGAGCACCAGAGCTCCATCAGCTCAAAGCTCCACTCGCTCTTAGTGATGGTGCAGTAACCCCAGGAGCTCATGGAGCTGAACCAGAAGCCATTCGCTTCCATGTCCTCAAATCCCACAGGATCCCTAATCCCGCTCCATTAACGGCTCTGTGTAGTCCAGGGAATGCCGGAATCAGCAGCTCCTGCCTTGGTTACTGCAGCCAGACCCTGGAGTCATCCCTCCCCTGGATACAGGTTCCCAACCCTGGATTCCCAAAGGAGAACCAGGAGCACCTGGGTGGTGGTTGAGGAGCTGAAGCCCAACCAGATCCTGCCCAAGGGGAAGGAGATCCCCAAGAGGGGAACTGGAAATGGGATGAGCTTTAGGATCCGTTCCAATCCAAACCAGAGGATGCCTCTGTTCTCCCAGGGAAGCAGCTCCGCACCAGCTCCCCCCTGGTCTTGCTGGGATTTACTTCCAAGGTCTGAACGCTCCAGAGCTGCAGCTCATCCTGCTGGACAAGCCCCAGATCTCGGGGGTGGGAATCTTTAAGGAGAAGCTGTGTTTTCCAGGAGCTGCCCTTCCCTTGGGATGGATGGAGGGATGAAGAAATGGATGGAGGGAGGGATGGATGGATGGATGATGGATGGATGGATGGAGGGAGGGAGGGAGGGAGGGAGGGAGGGATGGAGGGATGGAGGGAGGGATGGATGGAGGGAGGGATGGATAGATGGATGGATGCATGGATGGAGGGATGGATGGCTCTGCTCTTCCCTAAGAGCTCCCCCAGGCCATGAAGCAGTGCAGGAGTTAAGTGTTCAGAGAGCGGCTGGGATGCATTTGGGATTCACACTCCCACCTCAGCGTCCCTTTCACCATGGGAATCCCGTATCCCAGGAGCAGGGAATGCCAGCGTGGGCCCTGGGGTGGCTTTGCTGCCTCTGGGGAGGGTACAGGGGGATCCCTATGAATCCTACTCAAACAAGGTGACGGGTTTGGAGCGCACATGGAAATGGGCTTGGGAAGCAGAGGGAAGTGCTGGGCTCCAGGATAGACCTAAAGGCCAGGAGTCCTGGGATGCAAAAACTGCCCCAAAAAGGTGATAAATGATACAAAGGAGGAGGTAAAAAAGAAAACAGGATGGGGGGGAGAAGGTACTTGAAGCATAGAGGAAGATTCACCACGTGCAGCGGCTCCGCGCGGTGCAGAGTCCAGCTGGGGGCTGCTCCGCTCCCTCCATCCCCATCACATTCCCAAAGCAGGGATACAGTCCTTCCAGAGCCTACCGGGGTGCTCAGTACTTCACGCCAGGCACAAACTCCTTGGCATCTGGATTCAAGTTGCTTTTGCTCTGGAAGGGAAGATGGAGAGGGATCATCAGGGGTTCAGATACTGGGATCCCCCCCACCAGCATCATTCCATAGGAACCTGTGTGGTGAGGATGGTGCCATGGATATGGCCTGGCCCTTGTGTCCTCCCAGACATGGGGATGGTGCTGAGCACGTGCCAGCTCCAAGGGTCTACTCCCAGAGTGGGTTTGGATGGGGAAACCCAGGAGGATGTGGTGTTTGTGCCTCCTAGTTCTTGCTTTGGCACAGGGAGGGGTTGCTCCGGGACCAGTCTGTTACCATTGAATCCCAGCCTGGTTTGGGTTGGAAAGGAGCTTAAAGCTCCTCCAGCTCCAACCCCAACCCCTTCCACTGGAGCAGCTTGCTCCAAGCCCCTGTGTCCAACCTGGCCTTGAGCACTGCCAGGGATGGGGCAGCCACAGCTTCTCTGGGCACCCTGTGCCAGCGCCTCAGCACCCTCACAGGGAAGAGCTTCTGCCTAAGAGCTCAGCTCAGTCTCCCCTCGGGCAGGTTCAAGCCATTCCCCTTGGCCTGGCCCTACAGGCCCTTGTCCCAAGCCCTTCTCACCCCATTGCACTGAGGAACCCCTCAGGATCTCCACCCCAGCACAGGGGCCAGGTCCTGTGCCCACCTCTGACCTCCCAGCACATCCATCCCTCACGCTCCTTACCAGGATGTCCTCTGAACCGTGGCCGTCGCACACCGAGAGCCCATTGAGCTGCTGCTGCAGCTGCCCCATGCCCTGGGGCAGGTCCCGGGATGGGATGAACCAGTCCTGGTCCTCCTCCTCCAGCATCTCCTGGAAGCAGCGGTCGAGGAACTCCTGCTCCTGCAGCTCCTCCTCCACCTGCCCGGAGAGAGGCATCAGTCACACCTTGGGAAGGGGCTGTGGGACAAGGGGAATGGCCCAATGGGGCTGCCCCATCCCTGCAGTGCTCAAGGCCAGGTTGGACACAGGGCTTGGAGCAAGCTGCTCTATGGAAGGGGTCCCTGGAGCTGGAGGAGCTTTAAGGTCCCTTTGACACAAACCAAGCTGGGATTCCAGGGTTCTGTCATTCCCCCTCTCCCCCAGCCCAGTTTGTGCTGGGATTGCCCAGTTCCACTCTCACTGGATGGAGTTTTCCACCTGGATCAATGGGCCCCCACTGCAGCTCAGTGCTGACCCAACCAGGCTCCAAACCCTCTGGTGTTCAGGCTGCTCCTGTCCCTCCAGCTGCACACACACCAAGGGAAGCTCTGGATCACCATAGCAAAGCCCATCGGAAGATGATGGAGCCATCCCCATCCCTCTGGGAAAGAGCTGACCAAAGGCATAGGGAGGGGTTTATTCCAACATCATCCATCCCATGTCCTTCCAGGCAGATCCAGCACTGTGGAAACAAGGCCCTCAGTGCCATGGGTTAGTGGTGGCCTTGGCAGTGCTGGGGAAGGGTTGGACTGGATGAGCTTAAAGCTCTTTCCCAACCTGGTTGATTCCATGATGCAAAGGGGATGACTTCCCTTGAGCCAGCATCCCCGTGCAGACACATTCCATGGTGCCCACCAAGGGAATTCCCTTTGGCCCCTCAACCCCATTCCAGTGGCAGGACCACGGAGCTGGCACCACCCTCCTGCCCTCACCTGTCTGTTGAAGTCTTCTTCGTTCTCCATCCACATGTACTCTGCAAAGGGGTTGTTCTCCTTCTCATCGTGCCCGTTCACTACTTGGTCCTCTTTGGATTTGGGGCTGGATCCCGTCGGGCTGCCGAGCTCGGACCCATTCATCATTATGGACTGTGGGGAGGAGAACATTGGGGTGAGGAGCCTGCTCCTGTCCCCCAACCATGCCAGCTTCCAGGCTCCTGTTTCCAAGGCTCTTCCCAGCTCCCTTCCCTCCTCCCTAGTGCTGGAAGCAGCACGACACCCCTGGCACCGACAGCCCTTCTTCTCCATGGGCTTCATCCCAGGGCTTGGGAAGGCTCCAGCATCCCAAACCCACCCCAGCATCCCATCCCCTTGAGACCCACCACAAAGCACACAACTGGGTTGTCCCTCAGCCAACCCTATAGCACCGCAGCACTCCCTATCCCAAAATACCCCAGTTCTGGCAGAACATCGCCCCTGTCCCTTTGTTTCTGCCGTAATTCCTTGGGTTTTAGAGGGAATTTCCCTAAATCCCTTTGGTTTGTGACATGGAGGTGGCTTTCTCCTAAAGGAGATCTTTAGAGCCACAGTACCATGGCTTGAAGCAAGAGAGACCCTATGGGATCCCAAACCTCAGCTTCTGGAGGGTTCCCAGGAGCAGATGGAGGGAAGGATGCACAGACTGAGAAATGAGCCAGAATTCCATAGGTAAACCCTATGGAATAACCAAACACCAACTAAGGCCAGCACAACCTGGATGAAAAGCATGGACACAACACATTAGCACATCCCAGCTCTATGCTTTAACCTCCCCTGGTGCAGGATTTACCCGGAGCTGAGCTGCATCCAGCTCCAGCACAGCACTGGGATGAACTGGAGAGCATCCTGCAGGAGAGGGGCTGGAAAACAGGAATTCCCAAGGGGAAAAGTGCATTGGTTTGGTCTCAAGGAGGGAGAGAGATGGGGAGCCCCCCCCAACAGGCTTTAGGGTCAGAGGCATCACGGAATGGTTTGTGTCCAACCTGGACCTGAACACAGGCACTGTTGAGAAGAGGGGTACGGTCCCTTCCCACCCAAAGCATTCCAGGATCCCATGTGCAGGTCCCAACCCTTCCTACGCTGCATTTGGGGCAGCTGGGAGCAGAGGAGATGGTGCCTGGGATCAGTGGAAGCAGAGCCCTGCATGGGGATCTGGTTTGTTCCACCTGCAGAACCTGTCCTGCAGGAGGAGCAGTGATGAAAGCCCTGCTGCTGCTCCCAAAGCCGGCAGGGATGCGGGGCCAAGCCTGCCTCAACCCTTTCATGTCCTTGCTCCCAAACCGCAGCACCCCACAGCTCCCCATAGCAAACACAGTGGGGAGGAATTGCTGCCCAGCTCACATGGATTCCCAATGGATCGCTCCTCTGGACCATCTCCAGCATCTCTGTACAGCAGGGACCAAACCTGAGCCTGGGATTGGGGCAGGGCGGCACAGTGACACCTTCATCCCTATGGGGATGCTCACCAGCATCCTTTTGGCTTGAGTTACTGCAGCAAAGGCAGAGCCAAGCTCCGGCTCCAGGGGGATGGATGCTGCTCCTCTCCCAGCCTTTAGGAGCCTGTGGAGGCTCTGAGAGGTCCATGGTGTGTCTTGGTGCTCCTAAAGCAGCGTTAGCCAGGGCTGGATGCTCAGGAACTGCTCCTGGAACTTTATCCCCTGCAAAGGGCTTTAATTCCCACCAGTGCAGTCATTTCCCTGTGCTTCTCACTCTCTTTTCCCTATTACTTTCATCCCCCATCTCCCCTGTTGATCTAAGCCATTCCCAACCTTCCTTCCCGAGCCATTCCTGCTGCACTCAGAGGTTTCCAACCAGCCCCCATGTGCCTTTCCCAGCCCTGGCTCAATGGATGCACTGGCCTGGGGTGGTTTTGCTCTGAGTCAGCTCCATGGAATATGCATGGAGCCAGGGGAATTCTGCTGGGGCTGCAGAGCCCGAGCTCGGACCGGGATTGAGGAATCGGCTGCTTTGTAACAAAGGTTTCTTGGATTTCTTCCTCTTTTTCGCTTGGAAAAGGGAGCAGATGATTAAAAACAAAGGAAAAGAGGCTTTGAGATGGGGAGCGGGAGCTCAGCATCCTCATCCGGAGCACACAGAGCACCTCCAGGAGCTGCTCATCCCATTGTGGAGCATGGGAATCCCGAGGAGCTCCATGGAGCTGCTGCCCTGCACCAGCATCTCCTGCCTTCCCCATGCTCCCACACTCAGCTGGGGCTGGAACAGCAGCTGCAGAGGGAGGTGTCCTTTGGGATAGGTACGGAATGATGTGAAATGGGAACGATGGGAACGCCGCCTCCATCTGGTGCTTGGGTGATGCTCAGACACACAGCACCCCATGGCTACAGGTTCCAGCCTCCCAATGCCCCCCCCACATTCCCTGTATCCCATCCATCTCCCCTCAGGCAGGTTCAAGCCATTCCCCTTGTCCTATCCCTGCATCCCTTGTCCCAAGCCTCTCTCCAGGTTTCCTGCAGCCCCTTTAGGCACCGGAGCTGCTCCATCCCAGTGACAGGACCTACCAGTTTAGATGCAAGAGAGGCAGAAGCTTCATGGCCCAACCTCACACAATTGAGGAGCTCCTGAAGGGAAAACCCTAAATGGGTCCCCCATGGGGCTTGGTTTCACCGCTCTGAGCATCCCAAGCGTGGCAGGAGCCACGTTCCTGCCCTTATCCCAAAGGGTTAAGAGGGAGCGGGTGCTTGGCTCAGGCAGGGCCATCCCGACCTCTGCATCCTCCCAGAGCCAAAACCTCAGCAGAGGCTGCTCCTGTAGGTTCCGGGATGGGGAAAACTTCCCAGCTCCAGGAATAGTTCCGGGAAGCAGGGAGAGTGCAGGGAGCAGGGAAAGCACCAAGCAGAGCACGGAGCCAGGCTGCATGGGGCCTGGAGCATGGAGAAACCTGGAGAGGGGCTTGGGACAAGGGCCTGTAGGGCCAGGCCAAGGGGAATGGCTTGAACCTGATGGAGAGGAGTTGGATGGGATGCAAGGAAGTTCATGGTGAAGGTGGGGGGGCATTGGAAGGGGTTGAATGGAGGAGCTGGGGCTGCCCCATCCCTGGCAGTGCTCAAGGCCAGGTTGGACACTGGGGTTGGAGCAAGCTGCTCTATGGAAGGGGTTGGAGCTGGATGGGCTTTAAGGTCCCTTGAACCCAAACCAGTTGGGATTCTCTCTGTGCCCTTTCCCAGTTCCCATCCTCCCTCCCTGCCCCACAGCTCCCAGGAGGATCATGGAGGGCTTTGAACTCAACCTTCCCCCCCCAGCACTTTGGCTTCAGCATCACTCACACTGCAACCTGCAGGGGACTCCTAAGAAACCCAGTTCCCCCCCCTTCCATTCCCAGTGCAGAAACTCCCCATGGCAGAGAAACCGGAGCACGAGCAAACTGGTCCCCAGTGCGCAGCCCAGGAGGGATGGAGCAGGGAGAAGAGGGCTGGACCTTCCCACAGGCAGCAATGAGAGAAGGGAACTCACCGGCCTCATTTCCCAAGGGAATGACAGGGTTCTCCTGTGTCAGCTCCCACACATCCTCCTCCTTGTGTTCCACAGGTTGGGCCGGTTCAGCCCCACTGCCACCTCCTCCTCTGCCCACCTGTGCCCTGAGCTCCCTTTGCAGATAAGCTCCCTGCAATTCCAAGCCCAGCTGCACCTTTTCCCTCCTCCCATCCATGGCTTTCCCCAGCATTCCCAGCTGGATCTCACTGGGGAACTCAGTGAGAGGGGCTGGCTCCTTCTACCAGGCTGCCTCTCGCACTCTACCCCTGCTCCCAAGCTTCTCCTTCCCATTGTTCAGGTTTCATTCCCCATTCCCCACCACCATCACCGGAGCACGGAGCTGGAGCCCTGCTGCAGCCTTTGGGAGCCTCCCACTGCTCCCATCACCTCCAGCCCTACCACCAGTGGATGCCGGCTCTTATAGGGCTATGCCCTCCTGGCATCCCTCCTCCTGCTCCCTGGCCTGCAGCAGATGCAGAGCTCCCCATACGGATCTCCCTCGGTTGCTCAGGAACCGCATCCATCTCCAAGCCAGGGGATAATCTCCTCCTGCTCCGCTTTAATCTGCACCCACAGAACAATCCCCACTTCCCACAGGCACCAAGGGCTGGGAAGGCCCCAGGAACATGGAACGCTGCTGGAGCTGGGGCCAGGAGCCACTCACAGACCTGGTTTCCCTTTCAGCCTCCACATTCCCCTTCCGTGAGCTGAGCATCCACTGAACACAGGCGTTATCAGTGCCGGTCTCAGGGGGAAGCCAAAACAACCTTGGAGCAGTGAGCAGGGAGAATGAACTCATCCCAGCTGGAACCAGGACAAGCTCCTCCAGTTCCAACCCCTGCCATGGACAGGGACCCCTTCCACTGGAGCAGCTTGCTCCAAGCCCCTGTGTCCAACCTGCCCTTGAGCACTGCCAGGGATGGGGCAGCCACAGCTTCTCCATTCAACCCCTTCCAATGCCCCAGCACCTTCCTTGTATCCCATCCATCTCCCCTCGGGCAGGTTCAAGCCATTCCCCTACATCCCTTGTCCCAAGCCCCTCTCCAGCTTTCCTGCAGCCCCTTTAGGCACTGGAGCTGCTCTAAGGGCTCCCCCAGCCTGTCCAGCCCAGGGGCAGGACCTTGCCCTTGCTGTTGTTGAACTCCATGAGGTTCCACCTCTCCAGCGTGTCCAGGTCCCTCTGGGTCCCATCCCTTCCCTGCAGTGTGTGGGTCACACCGCACAGCCCTGCATCAGGGCAAGGCAGGGGCAGGGAGAGCCGAGGGCTCTGCACCCCACAGGAGCAGCTTTACCTCTGCCTGTACCAAGGCACCACATTCCCTATAGGCACATCCCAAGCTTCACCCCATGGCTTCTCCTCCAAGTGGGGCTGTGGAAGGGTAGCACAAAGCAGCCAAGGGGGATACAGCACCCATGGGGATTCCAGCTGCGTTTTGGGAGCTCCACCAGCTCTTGCTGCTCCCATAGAAGCTGTGGCTGCCCCATCCCTGGCAGTGCTCAAGGCCAGGGTGGACACAGGGGCTTGGAGCAAGCTGCTCCAGTGGAAGGGGTTGGAGAAGCTTTAAGGTCCCTTCCAACCCAAACCAAGCTGGGATGAGCCCAAAGGAAGCACGGGCACTCCCGATGGTGTTTCCCATGGATTTCCACCTC